CCACATACTTGTCACAGACACAGACCTACCGCCGCTCTGTGCAGTGGAGTACTACGTTAGCCCTGCTTGTATTTTGAGTAAAAGGCTGATTACAACAATGCAATGCCACACTACCATTGTTTCAGCCATGTAGTGCTTGTTTGGAGCTATAGTGTGACAGCCAGTTTCTTATGTTCTCAGGGAAAAATGGGATAATAACTTCCAGCCTGACAATATTTCAGTTAGTTTCTCTGCTTTTATTAACAAGCATATAATATTAATTGGCAAAACACCAGATACAAGCTTCACTATCATAAAATCAAAACATTAAGCAATAATCCCAAAAGGCTTTTTCAGACAAAACTAGCCACCAATAGTACAAAAATTACACAGCAACACAAAGCATAAAAAATGTAAAATTTAAAATTAAGCTAAGCCAAAAATATGGTTTTACACTGTGACAGTTCCAGAATCTTTATTATGCCACGTATGAGGATAAAGGCTTAGTGGCTGCACTGGCTTATTGTCCCTTAAATGTAAAATAATATTGTTGCAGAAGGAAAGGACAAACACTCCTTTTTTTTCCAGGCCAAGTCACTTGAATTCACAATTCCACTAAACCAGTGCTTTAAGCTTCATAAAAAAATGAGAAAAAAACCAATGGAAACATCAGTAATCAAAAATCAGGCCTCCCTCCTTCAACCATACCTAACAGTTTTCATGAATGATCCTGGTGGTTTCCATGGGAGCATCCAGGTTATTAGTAAAGTCAACAGTGTAAGTGGTCACAGAATCTGACATTTAGTTTCTACTGTACCACTACAATCTGGACAAGTCATTGTGGCTTCAAAAGATTTCCAAGAAACCCTAAGGATGATCAAATATGGATCAAGTAGCAGGACCAGAGCTTTAATTATATACAAATAAACTGTAACTGCACAACAAAACAGTACTATTGACTTGCCAAAAGATGCAAGTTCATAGAAGGTGTTTTTTGTACTGACCGCAAGCTTTTTATTAAAGTGGAGATTGAAGCATTGTTCCATGTTCCTTAATGGTTTTATTTCTGCAACTTTTTAGTTAATTACATCTTATGTAGACAGTCTAGTGTATGGGACGCTTTTTTGCTCTGTTACCAGCTTCAGCCGGACTAACTGAAGTGCAGGTTGCGTTAACATTTTCCATGAAACATCTAAACTGAAGAAATGACTGCCTGAGGAAATACAGAAACTTGCTTTTTCTGTAGTTAAGCCTCCTGTACCAAATGCATTTTAAGTACTTACTAAGATTCATCTTGCTGATGTACAGATTGGTTGGCTTTCTCCTGTTACAGTTAGCTCAATGGCAAGATGCATAATGATGTAAAATAGGCTAGTTGTATGTTTATCATCCAGTAGAAAAAATCAATGAATCTCCTAGGACTAACTATATAGTTATAAAGACAATAAGAACCAGATAAGCTTTCAAAGGCTCATAGCCTATTGGGAAAAAATAGCACCATCACAGTTGTAGTCTGATATTTTTTATGGTCCCATATCGATGTATACTTCTTGCAACGCAATTCTTACCTAGGTCATTGCTCCTGCTTGTAAAAAGGCTTTTTAGCTAGTAAATTTCCACCAGGCTCTCACTTCAGTATCCCCAGAGGCTATAGTGTTGTGTACACTATTGCACAACCAACAGAAACAAATATTCTCAGGTTTGATGGTACACAAATATACCAGACATAACAATGGCACAAAACATTTTCAGGCAGGCTGCAAGTCTTGGCAATTGCTTCCACAAGTCACATTTAGGTTTCTTGCAAGAACATTTATTTAAAAATATAACTGACAGATAGTTTGTGTACTTACACAAATTTTAATCCCGCACTTCACTCTTAAAAGAAAAGAAGGAAAAATAAACAAACAGCCTCCCCAAATAATAATCAAATAAAGCCCCATCTGAACAAGTGAGAAAAGCCATCTACATTCCTTTTAAATTTCATGGTTAAGTAGATGCTACATATACGATTTAAATATATGCCTAATAAATGCATGTTTCAAACCTATTGCACAAAAGCATGAATAATGCTCTTTATCCATAAAAACCAAAAACATACAAATAAAAGCTACTCAAACTCAATGTAAAAGAAGAAGCTTGTAAAAACATTGTACAATTTCATTTTATATGCCCGTAGATAAAGCTAGACCATGGAAACCAAAAATACTTGGATGGCAAAATAAGACAGAAGGCTTAAATAAATAATTTTATAAAGTTAAAATTTAAAACCACAAATCTTATTTAAATTCTATATTATATATTCTATCTGAATTCTCTATTTTTAATGAAACAACATTTAATGAGACTCTGAGCCTGGGTGATTCATCGGTCTCATTGGTGCCAAGACTAAAGCAACAAGATTCTCCTTTATTGCGATTATTTACCAGCGTAAGCAATGATGAAAACTACTTCACAGTAATGGCATCTTCACAAAAGCCAGAATAAACTAATGTGATCTCACTAGGACTAAGAGGCATCAATGCTTAGTCCAACTTTTAGTATCAGGGTTATTTTACCTAACATAATGTTGATATAAATTGTCTCTTAAGGTTCACATAAGTGAAACAAGGCTCTGACCCAAAGGAGACCTCCCTCTGACCTCAATTCAGTTGCACTGCAGTCTTTCAGTAAGGCTGAAGGAAATAAATACATGGTCTAGACAGTCACATCCTTCCTGAAGTAAAAGTTTCTGTAGCAAAGATGTTGTGACGTGATTTAGAAAAATAACTGTGTGGGGTTTGGGGGCTTTTGGTTTGGTTTTTTTTTTAAAATCACATTAAACACAATGCAAAGGCAGTTATACACAAGTATGAGCCAAAAAAACCCCCAAACCAACTAGCTGTAGGTATGAATACTGGCTTGAGTTTAGGTATACATATAGGTATAAAGAGAGTTTTCAATATATTGATAGCACCATATAGAATTCAAGTGACTCTCAAGATGGTTATAAACTCCTAAATATATGTTCTGTACTGTAGATTGTTACAGCAAGAGATAGATTTGAAAGGCTTCTGAATTTGCGTGTTTGTAACTAATATCTCAGTTGCACACAGAAAGTACTTAAATCCCAATATACTTCAACAGCACTGCATCAATATCTAGTTGTAGAAGAAGTTTCTGCAGTATGCACACTCTGAGGTAGACAGATCTCACACACACACACACACACATATATATATATATTTGTTTTATGTATATATATGTCCTGACTAAGGTGGTTCATTGTAACACTGCCTGGCACCTTTGATTTTATGCCTACATCAGATACAGGCAGTGTCTGTACACTTGGGGCGCACAGAGGGTGTATTCTCACAGCCTTATTCATATTCTCAGTGCCTCAGTGGCTGAAGGAAGTCCCTTATTTACACATGAACAGCTCCAGAAAGGTCAAGTATGTGAGTTTGTGTACACATTCATACCAGCTGCATTCAAATAATGTAAAGACAGAAAAAAAACCCAAATGCACGTATCTGATTCCACAAACAGTAAGACCAAAGCAGAGCCAAGTTTAATTCTATTGCTTATGTCTACGCACACACCTCCCCTCCCCTACAAACCCAGCCACCGAGCCCAGATGTGGAGTTCTGTGTAACCCAAACATTCAAGTGAAGCTATCCTATTCCCTCATCCCCAGGGACAGCAGCATTTTTTGGGCTCTGTGTGGCTTTCCATCTCCACAGTTCAGTATGCCCACTTTCACTCTCTGCTTCCATACTTTTTTATTTTCTTCCCATTCACATCCGTGGCTAATTACAAACGACGAACCCTGTTTTCAAAGGCAAACAGAAGTTGGAACATCCCTTCTGCTGAGAAAGGAGCATTGAAGACTCCAAAGGAGTCACAGGACAAATGCTGAGGAATGTGGTGCTTTGAAAACTTGAGGAAAAGGATTTAAAAAGGTCTTACAGTATCAGCTTCCTAGCAGAAGAGGGAGAGGAGCATAGCAGGGCAGTTACAGGCAAACTTGTTTTCTTATACACAGATAATTTATCAAAAAATAACAGGGTTTAATAACAACTAGCGCTTTCAGCTGACTGGAAACCTCTTCAAAAAATCAGAAAGTTAACTATTTCCAGCTGCTAGTAATATGGCACAGCCTGTTTTCAGTGGCTTGACATCTGTGGCAGACAAAATACACAATTACACTACATATGCTATACTGTGCACAGCTTGCAGAAATCACTTTCAACTACTGTTTTTAAGAAGTCAACTATTTAAAAAAGCATTACAAAAAGTGTAGTAAACCCTGCTGTGCCACTGAGGGTGCATTCTACAACATACATAGTTATATGTGTCCATAGATGTATGCACATATACATCTAAATGCATGTGTATTACCTTGCATTCATTAGACCTGATGCAAGCAAAATAATTATCAGTTAAGGCCAGAAGGTGCTAAAATAATCTTATCTGACACTCCACCCCCTCCATCCCCTTCAAGACATCTAGGAATTGCGCTGAAGAAAATGCTATGGTTTCATAAGAAAACAGGTAAAGAAAATATACCAGCTGCTCATAATCACCTGAGGAATTTTCAATTAGTGAAATGAAAACTGTGCACTATCACCCACAGTTACCCAAGAGACAGTGTTTCAATAGCTAGTGAGAGCAAATTCTCACTAAATGAAAAACTGATTTCTGCAAGCCAGAACTAACATAAGGAATATTTATTTTTCAAAAAGCTCACAAATCTAGCACTTCTGAGTATTTGTCATTATGTGGTGCAATTTATGCCACAGCAAAATATCAGGGTACATTAAAATCAACTGAAAATACTTCTATTAATCTTACCAAATTAACATGCATAGGGGCATATCAAAACTTTACTAAAGCACAAAGTGAGGGAGAGCAATAACTGGGCAAAAATGACAAACTTCTTGACTTCCCAGATCTTCAGAAGTTCTCAATGCAGCATAATAAATTATAATCAGTCACTATATCATTAGGTATGTTCAATGCTCTACAGAATAACTTGAATAAAGCCAACGCAATCAGTCATACTACATAAGACAATAACACTTTGCAAAAATATAGTTTTTAAAGATTCAGAATGTGAAAAGTAACTAAATGCAACACGGTGTCAAAAACAACATTTTTAAATCGTCCCATGACATTCTAACTTATTTCTGTGTAACTGCAAGAGATAAATCAGGCTGAGCAACATGGAACTGTGAAGTGTTTTCAGTATCTGTAAAACAGTGCTGGTAGTGTCTTGCTGAGTTGCGACTTCTTTCTTCCATACAAAAAAAAGTATAAATATTTTCAGTCCAAAAATCTAGGTAATTCATCCCTAGAAGACATATTCAGAAGGACAGTCTGCTATGAAAGCCCTACAGTCTTCCAAAATTATTCGTCTGGTTTGTGTCCTGTGATTAGTGATGCACTTAGAAGGTGCCAGATGATAGTCTCTGCAAAAAACTCTGTCCAGAAGGACAATAAAGTTCTCTTAGAGCAAGTCCATTTTGGGTCTGTAATGTAGCAGTAGAGGTGCTTTCTGCAAGACAGGAATATCAGGTAAGGAACAAAACTAGAAATAATCCTGCACCAAGGAGTTCTGTGTCTCATGTGAAGAACTGCTTCCTCTTGTTTGTTCTGGACCTCCCCCTTCCCAGTTTCATTTTACAACCCCCACCTCTCTCACTTGAGAAGGCAGTTTACAGTTCCCTTGTTTCCTTTTCCATGTAACTCACAAGTGCGTAATTTCCATGATAAAGCTGACAGCAGACTTGTAGAGATGCACATCAATTTGATGCTCTTTTTTGGTTCTCTTCCCGCTGCCCCTCCCCTCCCCAAATCCCCAGCGTTTGCTTTGTAACCTTTTATATTTATCTACATAAAACTTAAGGTGCTCATTAATCACCTGCGACTCAGAACTATCCTACACAACCACAATATTGCCAGTGCACTGCTACAGCACTACTCAAATCCCTTTCCAGGCCATTCAGGAACATTCTATGAAACAGATTCCAGCAGGATTCCACTCATGACCTCTCTGCATTTCAAAGGCTCATCACTGACTTCTATCTGTGACTGTTATGCAAGTCAATTATTTTCCGACACAAAGACGGAAAAAATGCTTCCTTATTCCTACTTGCAATTCTTCTAGATATGCATGCAAAGCCATCAAGTGCTTTTACCCCAGTGTACACTGTATGCTCGGGCTGTGTTGCTTTTTCTTACGAATACTAACTCCTAGTTCAAATATCCCCAAATACACATATACTGATTCTGTAGTTGTGACTTGCCTCCAAAGTGTTCAATTTCACAATTAATTTTTACACCCATTTCACCTGATCTGCTGTTACTAATGGGAATGAAAGATCTGCTGTTTACTATTTGGTTTTAAGGAAGTTGTTTAAAGAAACTACAATAAGCAAGTCAAAGATGTACTCAAACATTTTTAACAGCCTTGTTTATGTCTTCTAAATGCTGCTAGGAATTTCCTTAACTAAAGCAGACAACCATTTCAGTTACTGGTTCTTCTTTAGAAGTAAAACACGCTTCTTCAGCCACAGAAGAGAACAATGTTGAAAATTTCTGCCTTTTCTTCATCACAATCACCTTGCTCACTTATGTGGATTAAAACGAGTTTTACACAAAATAGCTAAAAAATAATACTTTTTTGTGACTTCCACTTTCTTTGTCAGACTTGGTAACAATTTGACAGCTGATAGTGTGTCCCCTTTTTCCTTTCAATTAATACTTAATTCCCCTTTCCTTTATTTTCTTGGAAACAAAATTAATACTTGGTGTTTAAGGATGCTGTATTAGATAATTATTAAAGTATCATTTTATCGAGTATGTAATCGCTGCAGTATAATTCCCAATTATGCCTATTTAATAAACATTATATTTGACCACTTCATGATTTACTTGGAACCACTGTCATACCTTAAATCTCCATCTAGTAACAACTACAAACTTGAGCGTGTGGTCCTTGCCAAGAATCTCTTCATTGCATAATATGTCCAGCTGACAAAACAAAGACAACAACAGTTAATTCATTGTGACAGAGTACATTAAACAATATATTTCAAATGTTTGACACTTTTTTTGTTTTTCTGAAGACACTGCAACAGTTCATTTTGCAGTTGTTATGCAGACAAAAATAGTACTACGAGAGAAAAGAATGTCTCTTCTCAAACTGCTGAAAAAACATGTCTGTGCATATTAGGAAAAACTGTGTGAACTGGACTCTGCTGTTTGATTTACCTTTCCAAGCAGCACTAATGTGTTCCCCGAAGTTACACATGCTTTTAAAAGGCCCAGTAAAATGATTACAGAGACAGAATTCAAAAACCTCAAAGAAAGTTCTGTTATTTGATATACTACAAACATTTTTTACCTAACACCAACAAGCTAGCTTTCTGCCACAAGGATACATTTTCCAAAAAAACCTGTCTGCCACCTCCTTCACGTATTATATTTATGCATGTTTTACAGATACTCAATAGCTAGTTTTACTTTTCTATCTCAGTGTTGAAAGATTTTGGTAATAGAAACAATGAGGATAAAAACGTAAAAACCCGAGGCTCATACTAATACAGATCAGTTGATTTACAGTAGCTAAAAACAAAGTAAAACTGTGAACATGCATGAAAATAGTAAAGTGGCTTATATTAACAAAGGTTTACAAACAATCCAGAAAGGCCTGAATGTGCATGCAGTCCACTTACATGACTTACCTGATCAGCAATAACACAAGTCTACAACAAACAGTCAAGTGCCTACTGGTTTGTATTGTGTACAGTTACTCTACTATGTACTCATTACTGGGTACTGGTACACTGGTTACACCACGATTTATGTGCTCTTTAAGAAAGCTGGGAGGGATAGCAAAGGAATAAGCAGCAATCCTAAAAGTTTGCTCCTGCAGTAAAAGCCAAGCAGGTTGTTAAATCACAGACTGGGGCAGTGGACTGGAGGGCTTAAACACACACAAACATCCCCTTCTGAAGTGTGTTACTGCTGGGCTATGGCCAGGAGTCAACCACTTCCAATACATCTGAGGACAAGGAAGGAGATAGAATTTTGTTTCAGGAAGGCTAGTAGAGTTTGGGGGCATACTAACCATAACACTCTGGTCATGGTGGGCAGCAACTTCAGGTTGAGCTTCACTGAGAGCACAGAAAGGAACAAAATATTTGTGATGCTTTCTCCTTAAGCTGGGTTTCAGTAGTGTCAAAGTCTTTGTTATTGTCTGAGTGTCCCCTACACTGAGTGTGAAATCTCTGAAAGGATGGGGTATATCTGACTACAAGTTGTCAAACAAAGTACCTTGCCAGAGTCCATTTCAGCATGTGGAAGCACATAACCAGTCCTTTTAGATCAACTATTTATATATGGATATGAAAAATTAAACTGCAAACTAAGTGGCAAATCCTGTATAGAATCAAGAAAGAAGAAGAAAATAACTACGTAACACAAAATTCAAGAAAAAGTGTATGTTTCTGTTTTCTGGAAATAAAATCAGACAAAAAGACATTCCAGATAACCGCAAAATCGTTTTTGTTTTGTTTTGTTTTTTAAAAAAATTACCTCATTAAAAGAAGAAAGGTTAAGTTTTTTGGCAATGAACTTCTTTAGATGTAAGACTGTTGCTTGTGCTGAGCAACGAATCCATTTTCGTTTCAGTCCACGCAATTTGCTGCTATTGCATTCCAAGCAGATGCTTACCTGAAGGAAAAAGCAAAAGGTTGGCTGGAACAATCTTCTGCAGTCCTCATTATGTACTCCATATGCAATTTTTATGAATACAACAAAGTGGAAAAATACAGTACTACTATTCCTTAAACTGAAATGCCTGCAGTCCTATTAAAAAAACCCAAACATCTTCTAACATCTTGTCAACTTAGTGAGGAGCACTACTGTAATTAAAGTGTTTCTAGACAAAAAACTTCAAGAAAGAGTTTTTTAGGTTGGGACGAGGCTGCTCTGGTACAAATTCAGAGACTGCCAATAGCTCAGGAAGACCCCATGTCAAAAGCTAGAGTAAGATAAACAGTAAGAATATAATTGCCAAGTTTTAATGATTGCTTCTGATATAACTTCCTGCATTTAATGCAAGTTTAGGTTGCAATTCAGAACAGAATTTTAACACATGTTTAAAAAAGAATTTCAAGTTTAAAAAAGAATGGATGTGACATTACATATTTTTAAATTCTAAAGATTATCCCCCCAAAATGTCTCTGTATTTTCTATGCTTCAATTCTCACTTCTTCCTTATCCAGGTATTCATTACTTAGACTAAGATCTTTGTGATTATTTATTTTATGCACTAAGATGATCTAGTACTAGGTACAATCCCTTAGAAAGTTCCCTTACATTTTAATTGGAAAGGAAATTACTCCAAGTTTAATTTACTCTGGCCATATATAACAGGAAAACATAAAAGGAATAGCTCGTTTATCTCAAGAAGACATTTCAGTTGCAAACATGCTTTGTGTTTAAAACTCAATAGTGTCTTAGTATTAGAGTTTTAAAACAAAATAAATGGTTAGTAAAGTCCAGAAGGTTTTATTCATAATTATTGATACATATTCAGGTCAATGCATTACAATAACAATGGGATAAATTCCTTCAGAAGGCGAGACAAATAACCTGAATTTGTTTTGCAAGCAAATAAATAAAGCAAGTAAATACTCAAGACTATCAAACCTTAATGCAAATGTCCTTGACATTCTCCATTCCTGACAAAGCTCAAAGATGAAACTTACGCTTACACAAAAGCATTAGGCAACACTAAATCTTTTTACATAACAGGAAAGAAAAAGTCATTTGAAACAGTTACATTTCCTCTTTGTTAGCTTACTAAAGCTAAAACACAAGATAAAACTAAAACATTCTCTATGAAGTCACCTGTTCATCACTTCGGTGGTAGTCATTATCTTCTTCCTGTTTTTCCTCTGAAGTTTCCTTGCTTGAATTTTCATCCGTTTTAGTTTCACCTTAAAGAAACCAGATATATGGGATAACACTCAGCAGCAGCCTGTAACACTAATACTATAACAGCACAGTTCAGTACTGCAATATAGAAAAAACTCTGTTTTTCCCAAATTGTGCTTATCTGCTTAGGCAACACTAGCTACCAAAAGCCTCAAGCACGAAAGAGGAATACACACAGACCACAAGTAGTGTAGCGTTATAAAACAGTTGTGACTGTACTAAACCATCAGGCACATACCTCCAGCAGGTCTGTTCATCAATTTACTAGCCATCACCCACCCAAGACAGAAAAAAAATAAAGGACCATTTACCATTTCGATGGGAATCTAGGTGCTGTTTTGTAGAACATGTCTCCCCTTTGATGTCCCCTGGAACTTCCATGCCCAGTTTGTGATAAAATTCCCTTTGCTTTTTCATTTCCGCTGTTTAAAATTGTAAATATTAAACCCTGTAATAAAGTTCTAATACAATATTTATGAAGTTATTCTGAATCCCTTCCCTCCTAAGTGAAACAGACTTGCTAACAAGTTGCTGAATTGTCAGTATTTACTATTCTATCTCTGCTGTCATATCGTCATGCCTCATCTTATGTTTCAGAGTTAGAATACTACAAAGTCACCTGTATAGCTACTACTACAGTATCTCATTCTAATAGGAATGTTATTTCAAATACTATACGTTATTTCAAATCCTTCCCACAATATTTGTCAAACCATTGTTTTTGATTTCTCTTACAGTGCTGATTTTCAATATGCTAGAAATAATTTTTAAGTGATAAATCTTATCAATGTTTGAGAGTGTGCTGGTTTTGCAGGTGAAATTGATTAGAACACTCCATTAAATGAGAGTTGTAACATACATTACAACAAACACTTACTGAGCAGTTCCAATAAAGTACTTTAGTTCAACAAATCTTGTCTCAAAGACCATTATGAAAACACAAACTGAAATTCAGTGCTAAGAAAGGACTTACACAGTACAAGAAACTTCTCTGAAAGTAAAAGCTCTTCTGCATTAAACATTCTGATAATACTAGAAAGCTGACACAACAGGTTTAAGTAACCAGTTTAACAAGGACAAATGAGAGTTACAGTGTGTCAACATTCAAAAGCTGAACTACTACTTTGCTCTAGGTAACACTGCGTTTTGAAGAAACAGTCCATCTTTCCTCCTCCCATCCCAACTCCCAATTGCTTCCAGTACAGGTATGAAATTAAACTAATCACTAGAAATGACACAAAGTAAGGAATACAGTATTTTTGCTCAGTCCTCATCCCCCCATTTTAATCACCTGAACCTTTTGGGTTTTTTAAAGTGTTACAGAAGCAGGTGTAAAATGACCTGTAAAAAAAAGTCGTACCACAACCTACCTTCTTGGAGGCCTGGCACAAGTTTGTAAACAATATCTTGCATTGTTCTGTCATGACTAACAAGGAAAAACAAAACCGAAAGTTTAAGTCACCTATCTTGATTCAAAACAACAAAAATTTTCAATTACTAAATTGATGTAAAAGCCCTAAATTCACCTAAGAAGAATTTTAATTCTCAAATAAATATTTGTATCAAACAAGAAAGGATAGTAACATGAAACAAATTATGAAAAAGTACAGGCTAAGACAGAAAACCAAATGAGAAACTGAGAAAGAATAGTCTTGGATATGTGGAGGATGACACCCCATACAACATGGTCTCCTGCATCAAGGCAATTACATCAGTAATCTCAAAATTCTTTGACAACTTTGAGGAAAACTTTTTTAATCACAAAAGATCTGAGGTTTCTAATCATGTGACATGAGCACTTCAAAACACTGGAGACCAATGAACAAGGTACACAAATAGTGACAACTCAAGAGATTTACAATTGACCATTACAATCTTTTATGACACATTACAAAAAGAATCAAAATACCATTAATTCTAAATTAACAGATTTTCAACCAGTATCAATCCCATTTGCCCAGGCTGGGATTTTCAAGTGTCATATATGGGTTGCATGAACATCTCCAAAAATATTTCAGCATGAGTAAATAAGCCATCAGTAATAGATCAGAGATGAGCATATAAGAGCATTCAGAACTGTGAAACAGGAGACATATTTGGTTTACTCATTTTCCAGAGAGAGGGAGATGAACAGGAGTGCAAATTTACATGTTAAGACATATTGTGAAACTCCTGACTGTCCATTCTTCATTAAAAAACCCCAAACATATATCCAAAAGAAGGCTGGGCAAAGGCTAGTTTAGTCTTCAAGAGACAGCATTTTGTAACTAGTGCAGGCAACATTTATCCTTTCAATTGTATTTAATGATCAAGTAGCAAATTCCTCTCTAGCTGGTCTCAAGTGGATGCTGTTTCATGGTCCATGTGGGCACAGAAAACAAGCTTCTGAACCAAGGCACTGGTGTATTCCTGCAGCTTTAAAGAAGACAAACGTGCTGCCTTAAGCTACCATTTACTCATTCTTGCCTACTGGCATCTACTACTTCTTTCAAAGTATACACTCATATAAGGTATTATTAGTGTATCATATAATGCATTATCAGTATATCAGTATTCCTAAAATGCAGAGATGTCATAAACTAGTTTTAGGCTCCTCAGTCAGGATGAGTGGCCAATATAAGTGTGTTCTCAAGGGTTAGGGCCGGGCTAGCCACTAAAAGAATGACAGATGTTACCCAACCCCTCTCCCTCCCTACATGGAAAGAGAAAGGGAATAGGCAGAGGCGCTTACAGACTGGCAAATAAAACTAACACAATTTTAATAAAACAATAACAGTAGTAATAAGAAAACAATGAAAATAAGGAAGTGATGAAATATACACAAAACCAATGTTGAATCCAATTTCCCCCTGACAGCAATCACAATTGAAGCTGCAAAGCAGGCAGGAACCACAGAAACCCCAGGCTCAGCAGCAGATGGGAACTGGACACAGGAGCTGGATTTACTCAGGATCAGGAGCAAGGGAAGAAGAATGGATGGAGTCCTTCTCGGATGCCAGCCATTGAAGAAAGGGGCTTAACCCCCGTGATCCCTCAGATTTATACTGAATATGATGTGCATGGAATGCAGTGCTTTTCTGGTCAGTTTTGGGTCATCTGTCCTGTCCGCTCCACCCAGGAGGTATGATTTTTTCCCTTCCTTTTGACTGTTTTACTTCCCAGCACCCCCAACATAGCACATCAAGATTTAGCAGTGACCTTGGTTACTAGAAGAGCAAGCGTAAGTCAGAGCCTTTCTGCATACCAAGTCTTGGTAGTAAGTACAAACATCAGGCGTTATCACTTCCAGCAGCAGACACTGTCTGCAAAACATGCTGTTTATTTCAGAAGGTGCAGCCTCTTAGAAGAGACTAAGCTGAAAAGTAATAGCACTGAATAGAATTGGTTCTGTTTAGCTCAAACCAGGACAGTACATCAACAGTTTTCTGTAAAGGTGAAGAAAAGTCGGGGTCATTTTCTAAAAGCATTGCTTCAGAAGTTGTAGCACTGAGAAAGGAACATTGAAAACTTCCACAAAGGAAAACAAACTTCTATGAAAAATAAGCAAAACAAAACTGGTATGTAACAGCTAATACATATGCACTGTCACAATAGATTTTCATCAGAAAAAGTTACTACAGTTCAGTAAAATGAAAGGAAAGCACTGAAGGAACACAAAGCGAATGTCTTTACTGAAAACAAATGAAAAAAACAAACACAGAACTACTTAGTAAAAAAAAGGAAAACAATGAATAATACCACATTCATGTTAGATCAGAAAGTGAGCACACTGTGTAGGGATTAAAATAGAACAAAGAACAAGGTTGTTCCATTCTAGAGATTAAAGCCACTGTTCTCATATTTTTGCTGACATATTCTTACATGTTCCTATGAAATAAGCATGTATTTGAAAGATTAACTGAACAACAAAGCTGACAATTTTTTATTTCATTAGTCTGTCAGACACTGAAAAGCACTCTTCAGTGGAGTCTATTTTGAGGATTTTGCAACAGTGTAATTTCTACAGCTTCACGTATATAACTTTTATGACCCAAGTATACAAAATGAGGGATAACTAAATCCCATTAAAACTCACACAAAAATTAAACAGTAAAATGCATACTTCACTTGCTTTTAAGTTTGGAAGAAGGTAGCAGATGTCAAGGAGTTGCAAATTCAGAGCAATATTTGATCCCATATATATCCTCATTCACCTTCCAACTTTTTTTTCAAATGTTTAACAAGCTCCTAAGCAAGTAAAATATAGGAAAAAGCCATGCTGTGTTTATAAGGCTGAAACAGTGTAGTGTGAAGCTAGCTGCACTTCTGCTTTCATACTTACCCAATATACTGTAATGGGTGGCTCTGATGTATAACAATTCTACAGGTTGGACAGGTGTTGTTTTCCTCCAAGTACTTCACTAGGCAGCTTCTACAGACTGGTAACAAGTGCATTAATGATTAAAAAGAAAATAAAGAAGCATAATTTAAAAAAAAGTTAGTTTTTATACAGTCAGAGAAATGAACTTTACTGAAATTTACATAAAGTTCACTTTTTATGTGAATTAAGCATGATGTCTAAAAATGCAGAATACAGTTTTCAGTATCTTTCATTAGTGTTCTTGATACAGGGAAGAGATGCGCCAGAATTAAGATACCTGTATCTAGATTAAAAAAAGCATACAACACAGTCCCACTCTGGAATTTACTAGAAGAAGCAACTCCTGGCAAGTCAACATCACACCGCTTGCACCATTCAGCTTGTGCAGATATTACAGAAACTATACGCCATTAAGATACCAAGCTTATTTGCTTTAACCGTAGCCACTTACAGAAGTGTACTATGGTGTCAAGGGTTAGGGCTGGGCAAGCCACAAACGAATGACAGATGCTCTATATTAACGCCTTTTCTTAACCAAAGGGAAAGGAAAAGGGAATAAGGCAGAGGACTTAGAGACTGGAAAAGAAAACTAATACAGCTTCAGTGAAACAGTAATAGTACTACTAAGAAAATTATGAAATTAATTAACTATATACAATATCAATATCGAACCCAGAAAGCTCTCCTGCCCCCTACCTACCCCCATCACCACTGATGCTGCAAATCAGACAGGCACTGTGGAAATCCCATACTGAACACTGCAGCAGATGGGAACCGGTTTCAGGAGCTGGATTTGGGAACTCAGGATCAGGAGCGAGGGGAGAAGAATGGATGGAGTCCTCCTCGGATGCCAGCCATTGAAGAAAAGGGCTTAAGCCCTGTGATCCCTCAGATTTATACTGAATATGACGTGCAGGGAATGGAGTACTTTTTTGGTCAGTTTTGGGTCATCTGTCCTGTCCGCTCCTCCCAGGAGGTATGACTTTATACTTTACAGCACTCCGACGTGGCACACAAGATTTAGCAGTGACCTTCGTTTCTATAGGAGCAAGTATAAGCAAGAGCTTTTTCTACATATCAGTCCTTGGTAGTAACTATAAACATCAGGTGTTATCACTTCTAGAAACAGATACTGCCTGCAAAAATATGCTGCTAACTTCAGAAAGTGCAGCCTCTTGGAAGAGACTGAGCTGAAAGCTAAAATTATTGAAAATAATTAGTTCTGTTTAGCTCAAACCAGGGTAAGTGGCAATGAACCCAATAAAAAAAAATAATTCCAAAGTTAGAGACTTTTTAAAAGAAAAAAAATTTTCAAAAAGTGGATATCCAGGTGATAATTCTAACTTTTACAGAGTATACTACAGTTAAACTTCCACCAGAAGAAAAAAATACATGGGCACAGATGCTCAGTATTTGAAAAACATCCTGTTAGAGAGTTGCTAAAGCAACTGTTCATTATAAAGCTGCATGTTTTTGGAAGTGTTTCCATACGCATGCACACAACCATTTGTATCTCGTTCAAAGTAAAGTACTTCACTTTCCCCCACTCACCATACTCCGGAATCTGTACTCATAATACACACTACTATATGATACCCTGATTCACTTTAAATTACAATTAAATTCAAGAGTGTAGAAAAAGCAGATTGAGGAAGCTGACTTTGTCCCTCTACTCCACTCTCACAAGACCCTGGCTGAACTACCGCCTTCAGCTCTGGAGCTCTCAGCACAAAAAAGATGGGGACCTGTTAGGGCAGGTCCAGAGGAGGGCCACAAAAATGATCAAAGGGCTGGAAGACCTGTCCCACGAAGAAAGGCTGAGAGTCAGAATCACAGAATGTTGGGGGCTGGAAGGGACCTCGAGAGATCATCTACATCAGCCCCCC